AGTACTGGATTGGATGCAAAAGAAACTGGACATGGGTCTATTACTGTAGCTCAGATGAGAAATGGGAGGGGTTGGATGTGAGAGACAATCTTTTGTATACAGATACAGCTTCAGTTCCATCAACTCATACTGGAAATACTGTATGTTATTCAAAGTGAAAAAATATCAGCAAATTCAATAATATGGTATTTGAGATGTCTTCGAAGACGCCAGCTATTCGTTTGGGACAAGGCTTATTGGTATGTCTACTTCCTGTTGACGCCACAGGTCCAAAGTTTACTCCTGAGTGTCAAAGTATCAGGCCCTTAATCATACAAATTCATACAGGGGTTATGATAAGGATTTCAGAAATTAAATCACTATATCAAAGTTCACAAAAACTATAAATTCAGTTTATTAATTTACAATGGAGTAATTACCTTTCCACTAACCAGAGAATTTTTTCTTTTATTACCAGCATTAAATTTTTTTTTCAAGTTTTTATTTATTTATTCATTTAAGTGATCTCTACACCCAACGTGGGGCTCAAACTCATGACCCTGAGATCAAGAGTCACATGCTCTTCTGACTGAGCCAGCCAGGCGCCCCCAGCATTCAATTTTTTATGACAACTTTTTAATTTTGAAATCACAAAAAGTTGCAGAAATAATACAGAGAATCCCCATGTACCCTTCACGCAGCTTTCCCGATGGTAATAGTTTATATAACCATAGTACATTGTCAAGCCCAGGAAACTGACATTGATACAGTACTATTAACTCAAGTACAGACCTTATCCAATTTCACATTTTTTCATGCACTTGTGTGTGTGTGTTTGTAGTTCTATGAAATTTTATAATGTGTTGATTTAAGTAAACACACAATCAGGATACGCAACTGTTTCACCATTGCAAAGAAACCCCCTCCCGTTACCCATCAATAGTCACACCCTTTCCTCAACCCTAGGCTTTGGCAACCACTGATCTGTTCTCCATCACTGTAATTTTGACATTTTGAGAATATTACATAATGGAATCATACGATGTGTAATTCTTTGAGATTGGCTTTTTCCAGTAAGCATAATGCTCTTTAGGTTCATCCAAGATGTCCCATGTATGGCTGAGTAGTATTCCATTGTATGACCATACGACAGTTTGTTCAACCATCTGCCGGTTGATGGACATTTGGATTGTTTCTTGCTTTTGGCTATCAAAAGTAAATCTGCTATGAGCATTTGTATGCAGGTTTTTGGATAAACATACATTTTCATTTCTCTAGGATAAATGCTCAGGACTAAGAGACCAAGATTGCTGGGTCATATGGTAAATATATGCTTAACTTTATAAGAAAGTGTCAAATTGTTTTCTATAGTAACCAGTATTAGATCTTAAAAATCACATAAGTAGGGCGCCTGGGTGGCTCAGTTGGTTTAGCGACTGCCTTCGGCTCAGGTCATGATCCTGGAGTCCCGGGATCGAGTCCCGCATCGGGCTCCCTGCTCGGCGGGGAGTCTGCTTCTCCCTCTGACCCTCCTCCCTCTCATGCTCTCTGTCTCTCATTCTCTCTGTCTCAAATAAATAAATAAAATCTTTAAAAAAAAAAATCACATAAGTAATGTCCCCTTACTGTAAAAAAATTCACATAAGGTAGCAAAGTATAAAGTGAAAGTAAAATGACAAATCCTGGAAGCCTGCACAACCTCTTTCCTGAGAAGTAATTGTTAGGTTTTCTATATATTCTTCAAGAATGCTTTATGCATATGTAAGCACATATATGTGTATATAAATACATATATTCACAAATGGGATCACACTATACAAGCTATTTACAAATTGTTTTTTCACTTAACAACATATCTTAGACATATTTGGATGTCAGTAGATAAATATGTAGTTGCTTCTTAAAATTGTTTTTAAAGTAGGCTCCACACCCAATGTGGGGTTTGAACTCATGACCTCGAGATCAAGAGTCTCATGCTGTACCAACTGAGCCAGCCAGGTGCCCCTGTACTTAATTGCTTAAATGGAAATAGGACCCCATTGTATGGATGTATCATAAATTTCTTTTTTTTTTTTTTTAAAGATTTTATTTATTTATTTGACAGAGAGAGACACAGCGAGAGCAGGAACACAAGCAGGGGGAGTGGGAGAGGGAGAAGCAGGCCTCCCGCTGAGCAGGGAGCCCGATGCGGGACTCCATCCCAGGATCCCAGGATCATGACCTGAGCCGAAGGCAGACGCTTAACGACTGAGCCACCCAGGCGCCCTGTATCATAAATTTCTTTAACCAATTCCCTAAATGATGCCATTTCTATTTTCAGTTTCTCTTTATTACAAAGCTATGATGAAAGTTTTACTACATAGATCTTTGTGTAATTTGTACAAGCATATCTGTATGACAGATTCCTAGAAATACAAGTGTTAGGCTAATTTTGCATTTTGTTTTTTTTTTAAGATTTTATTTATTTACTTGACAGAGAGAGCACAAGCAGGGAGAGTGGCAGGCAGAGGGAGAGGGAAAAGCAGACTACCCTGCTGAGCAGGGAGCCAGATGCGGGGCTTGACCTCAGGACCCTGGGATCATGACCTGAGCCCAAGGCAGACGCTCAACCAACTGAGCCACCCATGCGCCCCTAATTTTATACTTTGTATGTTATGAGATACCTTGTTTTTAAATAATTCCCACTAGCGATATATGAGAATTCTTAGTTCTTCACTGAGTGTTACCAAAATTTTTCATCTCTGCCAATCTGGTAGGCAAAGTGTATTTAATTTGCAGGCCTTAGTGGTGAATTAAATTGAGCACTGTTTTATGTATTTATTAGCTATCTGCATTTCTTTTTTAAAAAATTCATTTTAGAGAAAGATAAGAGAGAGAGATAGGGTGTGTAAGCGGGGAGGAGCAGAGGGGGAGGGAAGAGGGAGAAAGAATCTGAAGCAGCCTCTGCACTGAGCGCAGAGCCCAACCTAGGGCTCAATCCCACAACCAGGAGATCATGACCTAAGCTGAAACCAAAAGTGGGAAGCTCAACCAGCTGAGCCACCCAGGTGCCATCTGCATTTCTTATCCAATAAGTTGACTCTTTTATATCCTTTCTCCATTTTTCTATTGGAGTATTTTTGTCTTACTGATTTGTGAGAGTTCTTCATATGTATTACGCCTTTTCCATTCATGTAGCAAATATATTCTGCTTATACTTTATCTTTTGACTTTGTTTATGGTATTTTGACATACATAATTTTAAATTTCTGTGGACTCAAATTTAATCATCTTCAGGCTTCTGGATTTTAGGTCACATTTAGAATGGTGTTAGAAAATACAGAATATATACATGCTGCTTAGAGTAGGAGGCTATCTAGGAAACTTAATTTATAATCAGAAGCTTGCTCCAGGGGCACCTGGGTGGCTCAGTCGTTAAGCGTCTGCCTTCGGCTCAGGTCATGATCCGGGAGTCCTGGGATCCAGTCCCACATCGGGCTCCCTGCTCAGCGGGAGGCCTGCTTCTCCCTCTCCCACTCCCCCTGCTTGGGTTCCCTCTCTCGCTGTGTCTCTCTCTGTCAAATAAATCAATCAAATCTTTTAAAAAAAAAAAAAGACGCTTGCTCCATTTGTATAGATGGAGTTAAAGAGAACTGTGGGATGCTTTATTCAGATTATGGTAAGGCTAGAAGATTATCTCTGCCACACTGTTGGGTGTGCATTTCTAGTGACCAGAATATTTTTGCATCAAATAGTGTCTTGTCCCTTAAATAGCATCAAATGTTCTAAGTATTCAACTTTCCTTTTTCTTATTTCTCATCAGGCACCAAAAGCTTCTGTCATTACAGTATTATGAAGGATTTTTTTTTTGAAGGATAGGTTACAAATAATTAGATTAAAGTTTATGTCAGTTACATATTTCATTTGATGGCATTTTCTCACTTTGTCCTCAAATTCCTAGGGTTTACTCTTTGATCTTTCAGTACCCTATGAAATAAATTTCACTTCTTAGGATAGGACTGGGGCACATAGCACTGTGATCTGCACACACTGAAGGCTCAATAAATATTCTTGTGAATAAGCTCTAGAAAGAGAGGCTATTGTGAAACATACTTAAATATCAGTATAAATTTGCTATAAAATTTTATCTGATGTTATACCAGTTACAGTTATTTTCTTCAATGGTATTTTTCACAAGATGAAAGTAAGTTTACCAAACAGAAGAACTTTTTGAAGTATAAAATTGTTTGAAGTCTAAGTTGCTACACAATCAGATGAGAACGTGAATTTATAAATTAGATGAAAAACTATTTGCACCATGTACTATAATGTGATATTTGGAGCAGAAAATCAGTAGTTTTCAGCTATAAGATAGGAAATCATTTCGTATCAATTGATATTAAATTGGCACAATTGAACTAAATTAATGTAAAATGATTTGGTACAGAGCTCAATTTTTCTATTACTTTAAGTGGAATTTTGCATTAACTTATGTAACTGTAAATTTTCCACTACTCCCTATTTAATGTTCTAGCTGCATCATTCTGTAACTTGAATCTATTAAAAACTGTATAACATTCTACCAAAGATGGTCTATAAAAGAAATGGAAATTTATTTTGAATAGTATTCCACTCCCGAAAGCTTCAGAGGTAAGTAAAAATGTCTTGGATTTTATTTCTTGTTATCGATATTTAGATGTTTCTGTTTAACTTTTATTATTCAGTTGATTAAATATACCATAATTCTTTTTTAAAGTTGCAGGAAAAAAACAAACAGTAAGCACAGAGAATGGGAGAGAAACTAAAACAAGCGTGGAATATAATTTGAGGAATGAGATTAATCATTATATTGCATTAGGAATGCTTTAGAGGTTATACCGGGTGAAATCTCCACGGTTTACACCGGGCTTTCGTTTCTCCTCATTTAGGAAATTTGTCTTGTTATTAAATACATTTACTCCTTTTCTTGTAATTAAAAGGTAATTTAATATTAAGGGAATAGTCTAACCAAAAATTTTTAAAAGTAAAGAGGAACGAAGAGCTCTTAGCTACACACTATTGTATCAATCTGGGAACTTCTATAACAGCAATGGAGACATGTAATAGGTCACTTCTTCCTGTCCTAGGAAAAGCGGCGCTTCGGAGGGGACAGGCCCTCCCCGAGTTTTTCTCCCCCGCGTAGAGAGCTCTCGGCGGTCAAAGGTCCGGGAGGCTGGATTCGAAACAAAAAAATAAAAAGGGTAATAAAGACTTGCGTTAACTGGGGGTCAACGGAGCGCAAGGGGTCTTTTCGCACTTCAAACACCTTGGGGGAGGGGTGAAGAGGCAGGATAAGAAGGAACCAAAATTCTCAACAAAGTCGCAAGGCCGCCGGGTCCCACGTTTCCAGGAAGACGGTGGATAATCGAGGAAGGCGGGGGAAAACGGGTAGGTCCCCCTGGACTCCTTCAGCCCAAATTTCGATTTCCCTCCATTTCGCTCCGTCCCGTTTCCTTCCCCCAACCCCCGCCCCCCCCCCCCAGGAGTCAAGAATAAATTGGTCGAGCGCCCGGCCTAGCCTAGTAGCCCAGTTCCTTAAGTCTCCCAGACCCTAGAGAGAGAGACCACGTTTTCTGGGAGTCGGGAATAGTGGGATGTAAAGAAAAAAAAATTTTTTTTCTCCAGTGTCAAGTCTTCTGGTAGAGAATTGGCTTGCTTTCTCTCCACAGCCGAAGCGAAAAGCAAACAAAACAAAACAGAACAGAAACTCAAAAAGCAAAACCCCTAAATCACTTAGGATCAGGTGCCAGAGTTCCGCCAGTAGAGTTCTTTTGGTGGGAAGGAGTAGGGACCGCGGGGAAGCGAGGGTCCGGAACTAGGGCGGAAGGCCCCTCGCTGGGGCGTGTCAGAGGAGGGGACAGGGAAGGGTGATGCCCGACTGGGCTGCCAACCTCGGGCTGCGCGCGGGGCGCAGGGGCCCGGGGGACGAGTTCCGACTGAGCCCAGTTTCCGATTTCCCACGGCTCGGGGCTCTGCCGGACATCCCTAACGACCTCCTTTCGGACCCCCTCCCCCCATTAAAGAAAGAGGAAACGCGGCCCACTCCGGTCCGCGGCGGAAGCGCTGCCAAACGAATGAGTAAGTCAGGCGCGGGCACGGCACCTTGTTTACCCCACTCGGCGGCGCGCCCCTGCGGGCGCCTCGTTCGCAGACGGCGTCGGAGACGCTGAACCCGGGAGGCAGTCGGCCACGATTGGTCGGTGATAGGGAGGAGGACGCTGGGAGACAAGCGTTGCAGTGCCAGCTCTCTGCCGCTAGATGCCGCTCCCTCCCAACAGGAGCCGAGCGCGGGTTCGTGGCCGACAGATGGCGCCTGCGCGTTCCATTCGCCTCCAAGTCGCCGAAGAGCGAACACCCCAAACAATCCCGAAGCGCCACCAAAAAAAAAAAAAAAAAAAGAAAAAAAAAAGAAAAAAAAACCCGCCGGATCCGACCGCCACTTTCAAAACCCCCCACCGCTCTAGAACCGCGGGAGCTTCCGTCCCTGAGTAGAATTCGAGGGTGTAAAGAAGAGGAAGGGGAAAATATCTTGTACCAGCCCAGGGGTGAAGAAGCCCCCGGCCTGAGAAAGAAGGAAGGAGGAGTGGGGGAGGCGAACAGTCTCGTTGCTGCCTCTGTGTACGCTGAGGGGGGAGGTAAGTTATAAAATGGCGGAGGCGAAGCTTCTAGAAGTTTGGAGGGGCACCCGGAGGGCGCGGGGCCCACTGTGAGGTGTGTATGGTTGAAATAGGGCGCGAGAGAGGAGTTGGGAGGGAAAGAGAATGGGCACTCTGTTGCCATTTAATTTCCCCTCTACTCCCTTTGCTCCCAACGGGGCCAGCCATGGAGCGGGTGGCTAAGTCAAGACGGGGAGAAGCCTCCCCGTCCCCGCGTAACCCCCAACCCTTCTTTCTGCCTTCTCCCCCCAAGTGGCTACCTCAACACTACCAAGGAACTTCCAGCCCCCCTTCCTCCCTACCTCCTACTCCTAGAGTGGCTTTCTACTGCACGGACTCTTCTTTTCGACTACCCTCGCTGAAGATTCTCTCTTCCTTCCCTCGCCCAACTCTCCCTCGGGGCCTCCACGGAGACCCCCCCCTCCATGGGTGGCCCAAAATGGAGAACGCGGAGCAGCGCAAGATGGAGGCTCCGCTTCTCTGTGTAGCATTAGATTTAGGTGCCTTTTCTCCGGCAGGCTCTTAAGCCTGGGAGAGCCCAAACTGGAGGTGGGGTGGAGTGCGAGCCGTAGTCGGGGGAGGAAAGCCGGGGAGGCCGTGGCTGGGGTGGGGGAGAGCGCGGTATCGTGGTGAGGGGAAGGAAGAGAGCAAAATGGTGGTGCTGGGAACCTAGGGGGGAGGGGAGAAGCGGAGGCTCAGTTGTGTATATTTGGGCCTCGGACCGAGGGAGGCGAGGGAAAATCTACTCTGATCACACCCCTCCCTCGTGCCCCCTCCCTTCCCCTCTTTCCTTTCCTCCCTCCCTTCGCTCCCTCCCTCTCTTCCTCCCTTCCTAGAGAGGGAACAACATTCATGTGACGGGCCCCTCTGCTTCTCCCCCGCCCCATCATCTCCAGCGCGTGGTGGGGGAACTGCTTGGGAAAGCGATTGGCATCGATCTCTCCATCCCTTCTGAGGCCCGACTTCGGTCAGTTTTCTTCGGGCAACAATTTTATAAATAGGCTGGGGTCTGGTGGTGTTGGCCCCCGCGTGCAGACCTTGCCCCGAAGGGGGCCCTGCCTGCCTGGCATGGGAGGAGGGGGGAAGGGCGGGAGTGGAAGGCTGTTTGTTGGGGGGTTTTGGCGCCACTTTTGTTTTAGTTTTAGTGCTGCTTTTCGTTCCCACCCCCACCCGCACTGTCTTTCTCAAGGCACGAACTGAGCTGATCCTTGCCCCAGGTAGGCAGCTTCTGCTTTTTCCCTCCACACTTTTATTCTTGCTTGGGGTTGACTTTCTTTTTTCTTCTCTCGCGTACCCGGTGATCTGTGGACGGCGATTTTAGCACGAAAAGGGTCTGTTGGGCCATGGGAGAGAGAAGGTGTGGGAAACAGCATCAAGTAGTTCCGCAAAACTTTGAGCCCCGTTCCCATTTTCTTCTGGCCTACATTCGTAAACGTATTGTTGATTTCTGCCTTTTTTTTTTTTTTTGTCGCGAGAAGGTCTTGTTTTGCCTTTAGTTTTTTATAAACCGCTGTACTTTCGACATTTAGTTTCCGCTCTCCCTTCGTGTATATGTCATTTTATTTTTAATTCTGAACTGTAATGGGTTTTATCGTGAGATTTTTCGTGCTGCAGTGTTCAGCTTTAATTTTTAATATTGCATTAGTAGTTTCATCCGGCTTGTGAGACTTTCTCCTCGGTGGCCTAGAAATGTTTTATATGTTGTTGCCTACCACCCCTCCCTTCCCCCTCCCTCCTCCTCTCGCTTGGATGTAGTTTCTTAATTGAGGGTCATGGTGTTTGATTAAATGGTTATTTACAGTTTACACGATCTATCTATTAGAAACTTTTGATCTGTGGGATTAGGTTTAAGTAAACGAAAAGCTTGTGTTGCTTTGAAATGGTTCCTTAAAATGCGCGGGCCGCCCCCCCCCCCCCCGGTAAAGCCCCATCTTCCCCTCGTACTGGAGTGTAAATTCCATACCCCTTTTCTCCCACGGACCGCCGTATTTCACGGCAGCCACACCCTGTATTTGTCTCTGTGGATTGGACTCATTATCAGCTTAATTTAGTGACTCTTAAACCACCATGATGGGACTTGCTTAAGCACGAAGCTTCTTTTCCTGTTTAGTCCTAGTGGTTAGTGTCGAAAGAGGAATAATCGAGGTTTCTTGATGAAACCTGGTGCGGTCCAACCTCTGCCTTTTTTCTGTTGTCTTTTTTCCTACTCCGGGCTGTTGGCGGTGTCAGCACCGCTGCTGGGGGCGGGGGTGGAGGGGAGAAAGAGTCGGGTTACCGAAGTGCGTCATTCCTGGCTCTAGCAGGGCCTGCTCGGGAGCTGCTGGTGTTTGTTACTGTCCTCGCAGCACTTTCCTGCCAACCTTCTCTCTCTGCGTATTGGTTAGGAGCAAGAGCAGGAGGCGGTCTTCTAATTCTGTAGCCTAGCGCGTTGCGTTTCAGGGTATATGTGAACTTATTAAAAAAAAAAAAACTGGCCCTGGAAAGTGGATACATTTCTGTTTAATGACATACAATACAGGTAGTTTAGACTTGCTTTCGTATATTTTCCAATGAACGGTGGGGTTAGTTTTGAACATTTTAAACCACTTCGGTTAAAATGCTTGGTTTTCTTTTTACATTGATATCAATCTATAATTAGGGATCAGAAGGACCAGTTAAGGCATAAGTGTTCAGTGGTTTTTCAAGTGGTTGAATTGTAATTTTATGACACATTATGTTAAATAGTCTGTTTTTTTTCGTTTTGAGCCGAGGTGCTATATGAATACAAGCTAATTGCAGATATTTAAGTTCATTTTCATCACATACTCCTTTTTATCCTTGTAGATATAATTTTAAATATGCCCTTTGGATCTTAAGAACTTTCTTAAAATTTCTTAAAGATGGCTATTTCTTTGTTTTTAACTGAATTCTTAAATTTTCCACCTAACAAGTAGTTGTGTAGGGTGACAGTTACATTGCTAAATTCTTGACTTCTTGCTAGTCTTTGATACTTCCGTATCTTTGGATTTTTCTCAGTGTACTTTTTGAGCACAGTGTCTTCTTAATTCTTTTCTGAAGATGATAATTGGAGGAGGGAGTGGTGGGAGGTAGAGATGAAACAAAAGTGGCCTTGAGTTGATTGTAGCTGGATGATGACTACAGGAGAGCTCATTGTACTACTATTCTCTCTACTTTTTTGTGTGTACTTGAAAATTTCCATAATTAAACAAAAAAATTTGAAGAAAAGATTTCAAATTGTCTTGGAATTTTGGTGTAATGACATAGGTTTGTATTTACATATCAGTTATCTGCATGGAAAACTTGGCCTTGTATATAAGTACTCACACAATGCCTGATGTACAAACTTTCAAAAAATATTTAAATTGAACCAATATAGAATAAGCAATATAAGTTCTTACTAATTGGCTGAACTTTAAATGTTTGTAACTTGGTCTGAATGTGGTCAACTTCTAGTTTCTTTTTTTAAGTCTTTGAAAACAGGAAAATTCCATTCTCAAAGTTTGTAAATTTTGCTTGTCTATTTCATTAAGTTGGAGTTACAGTGAGTCAGTATGAAAGGGATTTACTATTAATAGGAGGGACTTTGGCAATTGCAGTAAGTGACAGTGGAAGGGATTCGGGTGCCCTAGGGCGCATTCCTGGTAGGAAGATAGAGGTAGGAGTTGAATTCAGTTTCAGTATTTGGTGTTTAATGAATGGGTAGAGAGGAGGATTGGAAAATAAATGTACTTATTAGCCATTCTTTCCCACTGTGAAATAACTAGCATTCTAAGGTATCAGACTGGCAGTGGGGGTGGGGTGGGTTCTTTTTTTTTTTTTTTAACTGATATGAAAATGAATGTTTACTTATAAAATGAGTTAAATCCCACCCCTTTAAGGATTTGGTGCTGTAGTTAAAAGTCGATATGTAAAATATTCTGATGTTTTCTATAAAGGACATTCTGACCATTACCCATCAGCAGTAAAACTGCATTGCAATTGAAATCCTCAGTTTCCTTAATTAGTATATTTGTGAATTGCTCCTACACTCTTTGAAGGTAAGTGCCTTATTTTCTGCAGTTTTGTGTTGTCCAGTGTCAGGCTTTTTACCCCTATGAGATGTATTTTTGAATACATGTCAAAGTTCTAAAGGAAGTCCAAAATAATGGATATTTAATTTTTACATTGGGTAAAGTGTGTTCCCTCATCATTATTAAAGCAAAATTCCGCCTTAGTCTAGGAACAGATATTTCATAACTGCTAATATTAGTCAGTGTATTCATAGTCAACATTTTAGCTTTAGAAGAATGTTATGAGAAGACATTACATATTTTGAATTCTGCAAATAATCTTAAGTAGATGATGAGGATTGTGGCTTCAGATTTATTGTGGCAAGGTAACAGCTAAAATACTAAGCCAACAAATTATGAGTTTGGTAACTTTGAAGTCTGTTTAGTTAGGATTTTTTTTAAAGCCCAAACACTCCACATTTTAATGAAATTAAATCCTGCATTTCTTTTTCATTATTTTCTTTTTCAATCTTACCTTACTGACTGGTGGTTGTCTGAGGACCTATGTATTAAAATAGGTAGGGAGGGATGGGGAGCAGGCTCAGGCCCAAATAAATTATCTTTTGGGAATATAGTGTTAGATGTGAAAATATGCCTTGGACAGTTTAGTAGTGCTTAATATTCTGCATGTTTAACTGATGCCACCCACAGTCGTGTGTGGGAAGGGAGTAAACAGTGAATAGCATATTCTTTTTGTTTTTGGTTCTTTATAATAGATGGAAAACTCCAGTTTTTGATGCTGCAAGTTAACTTTTGAGTTTAAAATTTACATTGAATGGACACAGTGATTTGTTCATTGTATCTTAGCAGGATAAGGTTCACATCTCTTTAATGTGGTGACGTTTGTGCCTCACATGTTGAGAAAAAACAACCTAGTCTTGTATTAGCACTTTGAAATTGCTATTAGATTATTCAGATACTTGAAATGACAGTTATTGTACAGTGGAGCACTACTGTATACCTATTTTGGAAGTTGGGGAGCTTAGCAAAGGAAAGGGATAGTCTCAGTTACCTATGGGTATCCGTATATACTGAAATGTGATTAATCATTGGAGAATAAAGAAGAAACTTTAAAGATCAAGGCTATTTTAAAAGTTCTTTACATTTTCCTTTTGTAGTTTTCTACATTTGTTACGTGTATAGGACTTCTAATTTGTGGTTCAGTACTGTTGCTGTATAAATTTTCTCTATATCTCTGGCTATCATGAGCGGTGGTTATTGCATGTTCTTTCTGTTTGGCAAAGATAGTGTGAGAAAACAAAATTGTCAGTTAGATTTTTTTTACATGTCCTGGGTTGCCTGCTTTGCATTTAATTGAACCAAATTTTATATTTCTTCAGTGTAAGTGGTGTTGCTTGTGGAGTCTTAATTTTTGAATATGTACATTAAAAAAAAAACTACATTTCTTTAGCAGCTGTGGTAATCTGCTACCTGAACTGTGTTCCTAATGTATGCTTGCTATAGTTCTATCTTTGATACTAACCAGAGAAAACAAGAAGTCTTTACATATGGTTAGTCAAGAGATTATTGAAATTGTTTTATACTCCCCATTCCTCCAAAGGAAGGAAGGGCGAATAATGTTAATGTTCTTTTTTATTTTTTAATTGAAAAATACATTACTAGGATTGATGAGACCAACTAGAGAGATTTCTGTAAGCTCTTGATAATCTAATGTACACTCAAAGGTAAAATTTCTATTTAATGACAGACTGTTGTTAGAAGGGGAAAAAAGTAAGTCCTGTTTATACTTTTTGCATGCATAACATTGGTGTAATGGGATTTGACCTATAACTTGTTGAATCCTGAGATACTCTAAGAAACTGTTAATTTAGTTTGAGTTCCTTTTGAATGTCAATAACTGTTTTAACATTTATTGTTTAATCTTCTTAGCTACGTTGCAAGATAGGTGGTT